TATATATATATATATATATATATATATATATATAAGCATGTAGTCTATTAGATTGAATATTAATTAGAATTGTTAATTTGAATTTGGTTCAAAATAATTTGACAACACTGCAAATATGGCGATTAAATGCTTGGAGTACGAGTGTATTTTGTAAGCATTTTTATCCTTCTTTATTAATTGTATATCTTATGCTGAAACATTGTTGAGTAATTTATTGGATAATTTATATTAGCCCCCCTCCCCCGCCGCCGCGCCCCTTCCCACATTAAATAGTCACAGAAGAATTTATTATGTAGTAGTAAATCGATAAATATTACTTTAAATCAAGTCTGGTAGGTTATAAATGTCAATACAGCTTATGCTATTCCTTCTACAAGAAAAGTAGATTTCACTAATTTAACTAATTTTTTATTTATCCTAATTTATTTCCTTTTAAATTCTACTAAAATTTATCAGTGTAATTAAAATATTTATTAATATTTTTCAGGTAATCCAGAAAATTAAAATAATTATTAGATGAATGTTGAAATGTCATTTCTGTATCAACTGTATCCGTATAAAATGATTTGTTTTGTTTGCAATTCCAACGTTGATCAGAATAGCTATACTAACATGTTTTTCATATCTCTTCCACACATTCAAAACCTTATGGTAAATTTTGTATTAAAAGTACTTAAATTATCGCTTTCCGACCTAAGCAGCAATTATATCTGTGTAAGATGTTACAATTTATTTGGAATTCTTGAACAAGTGCAGTGGACAGCCGCAAACATACAATCAGAAATTTTAAAAATTTTTGAAAACCGCAGCAATCAAAAATCGAAATTAATCAAGGTTTTTGTTAAATTTTATTTACAGATCGTTTGTCAATGTTATATAAGAATTATGTAATTTTTGCTGCTTTTTAGCTTACGCCAAGTGTCTCAGAAATGGAGAAGGTCGACGAAAAACATTATACAAATGAAATAGTCTGGAATCATCTATCGGACAAAGATTTGATCTCGTTAAGCAATGTTACAAATAAAATTATACAAAATTATGTGATATCTAACGAAGTGGATATTCAGTTTAATAAAACATCGTATGGGATGTCGAACGACGTAGAAATTCAGAATAGTAATAAACCGTCTGTGATAAGTAACGAAGAAGAGTCCAAAATAACAAACTGCGTTGCCATTCAACAATGCTTAGAAAATGACAAGGTATCTGATGTGTCGTGTAATATGGAGTCTTTAAATTCAAAAGATCCAACCACTAATATACTTTCCGACACCATCGTAACTGCCGACGTTGACAAAAAATCTAACTCTGAATGGCAGAATACGAAGGATATTTCAGATTTACAAAATGATGCCAATGACAATAAAAGTAAGATAATCTAGCCTTAATAATTGGTAATATAATATGTTCACAATTGAATAAAATATATTATTTATCTTTATTATGTAAATTGTGGATTCCTTTAATTAAAGGCAAGTAAGAAATATATCTTCCAAATGATTTTCCACTAACGTTTTAGCGCATTTCTTTGCAACTGAAAAACATTTCTAAAACACTTTCTTGTAAATTATACTGTAAATTGAACGTCATTATAAATTGAAATTTACTTTTTTATTACTTTATTATAATTTAGCATATAATACAATTTGTATTTTAGATTTAAATTCTGCAGAAAATTCGGAGAACCCAAGAATAAATTCCAGTCATAGAATCCAGTCATCGTGGAAGTCGGGTAGAATCTCTAAGTACAGCCAGAAACTTTTAAAGCACAGCTGCCCAACTTGTAACAAAAAGTGGCGAACATCCACAGAGCTCAAAATCCATATGAAGTCTCACTCTAACTTGCGACCTTACATGTGTGAAAAGTGTGGACAAGCTTACAAGCACAAACACGCATTAGAGATTCATGTGGGCATGCATAATGGTGTGAGTCCTTTTCGCTGCAGTCATTGCAATAAATGTTTTACGCAGAAAGGTGCGTTACATAGACACTTGCCAATGCACACCGGTGAAATGCCTTATCAGTGTGAGTTGTGCGGCAAGAGATTTGTGCACCACACAAGTTACAACATGCACGCACTATCGCACACAGGGAAAAAATCTTACAGTTGTCACGTACGTATATTTATTTCTTTATACACTAACTAATTTATATAATAGAAGTTTCGTAGAGGTAAATACATTTTACTCTCATGATTATGTGATACTTACGTTATTCTCGATAAGTCGTAATTCAATATACTTAATGTGCTGTAAAATTAATTAATATTGAAATCAAAGAAAATACTGTTACATTGTATAATACTTATACAGTGAGAACCCCAAGTAAGATTAACAGTATATATTATGAGATTTTAATGTCTAATTCTTTTTATCAACCTTTACAAAGTTAAAATTTTCAAAGCCATGGCATAATTTAGTCAGTATTAATGTCAAAATGTTATCTACATATTTTCGCAATTTTTTAATAAATTGTTCTACATTTAAGCGAGTTCTCAATGGTTTTAATTGCTTACGATATTAATAAAAACAAAAACAAAAAAAAACAAAAAAAAAACAAAAAAACAGACTCTTTATGTATCGATGTAGATTTACAAAATTTATTACGTTGTTAATTTTTAATATAATTAAAAATTTATTACGTTGAAGAAATTTAAATTTGTTTTTATGCTTTATAACAATATAATGAGAAATGTTGCTTTATTATGTATTAATGACCCGAAAAAGAAACAAATTTATATTTAATCGAAATTAGTTTTCTTTCAATTACAGCATTAATTAACAGTCGTTGGACAAAATTTAATTGGCTTGACTTTAATCGACTGAATATTTTAATAATGTTTTAAAGTTATTCATGCTATCGATTGACACAAAGCGAATACAAATTAATCTTTCTTATTACAAAAATTATATTACTCCTATTGTTTATTTAATATTATTAATTAATTATACTATATAATTATAATTATAATTATAATATAATACGTTTCGTTAAAATCCACGAATTTCAGTCGATCATTGTCTTTCGCATTCCAGCGTTCTATCGTCTATCTTATTATATTATTAGCATAAAATGTTCTTATATCATAAGTATTAATTAATCTGTGCTAATAATAATATTGAGATTGTTCATTTTGTGAATATCCAAATGAAGCTTAACTTACTAATTGCTTAGTTGATAATTAAAAATCCCTATATTCCCAATATCTTCAACGGGGCATAATACTTGTTTGTTTTCTCATTTGCCCTTCGGCTTTTGGCGAAAGCAGGTGTGCGATCTTTCATTACTGTCCACCTCGCATCTGAAGCGACATATGCGTGTTCACTCGGGCGAGAAACCATACACTTGCAGCGTTTGTGGCAAAAGCTTCGCCGAGCGCTACAATCTATTGGCCCACCAGAAGATCCACGATCCCCTGCAAACGACCGTTAAGGAGATCAAAAGGAATCATTACAAGTGAGTACTTGAACGCGAGGAGATGTCATTGTTATTGCCAACGCAACCTATTCCAATTCAATACGAGCAATTATGAAATGTTTCGCGTGGGGTGTTGGTGATGTCTATAAAAAGTTATAATTACAATTAAAATTGTGATAAACGATCATTTCATTTTGTAAAATGTAAAAGCTGAAAAAGAAATCTGGCACTTTAACACGGGGGAAATTAAGGTTTTGAGGCTCCTTTCTTTTTCGGTTATTTTTTTTTGCTTTTTTTTGTTTTTTTTTTTTAAATTTCCGTTACTTCGTCTGGTAGTACCTGGGATTTTTATATTGATTGCGATGAATTGCAGTCTACAGTAGATTATGTTTGCAAAATTAAGTGTTATTATTTCCATTGCACGTTTAAACGACCAAGTCCAAAACCAACATATGAATTTGAAATTTCAAAAAAATTAAAAAAAAAAATAATATTAACAATAATAATAACAATAATAATAATAATAATAATAATA